GGCAGTGGCAGTATGTTTAACTCTACATGTTGCCATCACTTTATGTTCATTACACATACCTCCTTCCTCAGGGGGGGCGGTCGGGTAGCCAAGTGATTGAAGCGTTCGCTCATCACGCCGAAGACCCGGGTTCGATTCCCGACATGGGTACATTGTGTGAAGCCCATTTCTGGTGTCCCCCGCCGTGATATTGCTGGAATATTGCTAAAAGCGGCGTAAAACCATACTCCCTCGCTCACTCCTTCCTCAGGTCTACACGTCAAGGATCTTGATTATCTTGTTGATCAGGTCCCAAAGGCTTTCTTGCTTGTGGACTTAAATGGTCACAATCCACTATGGTTACAACAAGTCACAATGACAAAGGTAAAGTGTTGGAGGACTGGCTTCAAAAACATAATCTATGTTTGTTTAATGATGGTAGTGATACATATCTACATCCAGCAACTGGTTCATACTCTGCTTTAGACTTGTGTACATAGATCCTTCTCTTCTGAACGAGTTTTCATGGTCAGTTCATGATGATTTATGTGGTAGTGATCATTTTCCGACTATTGTTGAAACTGTCACCTCCTTGGCAGATATACCTCCTACTACGTGGAAATTTAACAAAGCTGATTGGAATACATTTAATATTGTTTGTAAATCTAACATAAATTCGGATGTTTATATTGATGATACTTGCCCAGTAATTATTTGCAGAAGGAATAATTGATATTGCTACGAAATCTATCCCCAAAACCTGGACAACCCCACGTGTACATACTCCATGGTACAATGATGATTGTAGAAAAGCTAGGAATGCTCGGAAAAAAGTCAGAAAGACTTTAACAAACACCCAACTCATGACAATTTATCACAACTACGAATACTAAGAGCAAAAGCTCGTAGAACTATCAAGGACTCAAAACGAAACAGTTAGAGAAGGTTTGTTTCCAAAATAAATGCTTGTACTCCCCTTAATAAAGTTTGGAATATGATCAGACAATCTCATTAAAATCAGACCTTAGTTCTCGCTACCGCTAAACAAAGATCTGAAGACATCCCATTAGGGGTCACGCCAGAACGACCTTTCATCTGACCAATCAGTGTGTTGCTTACCAGATTATGAAAGTGACAGTCGGAATGTGATTTCTAGTCATGCAATCTCAAAAACTTTAACATGGTGTATTCCGAACGATAGTTACGGGTTTAACGACAGAATCCTTACAATCTAAACCATGTATTAGGCATTCCAGAATGTTTTTTTGTTCAGGTTTCAAATTTGTAATCGAGAATTTGTCAAAATATGTTTCGAAGCGTAGTCGCCAATTTGAAATTTGTGCCGTAAAGCACAAGAAAGCTGCTTTCTGATTGGTCATTCCATTGGTCGGCCAAAGTTCACGCAAGGTCGGCCTGACGTGACCCGTAATGGGATGTCCTCAGATCTTTGTTTAGCGGAAGCGAGAACAAAGATCTGGTTTTAATGAGATTGATGATCAGAAGAATAAAAGGAAGAGGATCCACAAACAGTATTCAACATCTCTTACATAATAACGATCATTAACATCTAAAAAAATTAACATCTAAAAAAGAAATCGCAAATTAGCTGGCGGAAATGATTAGCACCAATTCATTATATGCCGACTATGATCCTAAATTCCAAAAGTTTCAAAATTTGCAGGAAAAGAAAACTTTTTCACTCTGATAATTCCGAAGATTATAATGAACCATTTTCCTTGAACGAATTAAGTGAAGCTTTGATCAAGGCTCATTATACAGGATTAGGGCCCGATGATATCCATTATCAGCTATTGAAGCACTTTCTGGAATCTTCTCTTTTAGCCCTGTTATATATATTTAACAAGATTTTGGAAACACGTTATTTTCTGCGCACGAAGCTACTATCATTTCTATCCTCAAACCAGGTAAGGATTACACAAATCCTCCTAATTATCGTCCAATAGCATTAACTAGCTGTGTCTCCAAAACTATGGAACAAATGATCAATGGACGCCTTGTATGGTATCTAGAATCAAATAATCTGATAACGGATATTCAATTTGGTTTTAGACATCAAAGGAGCACTATTGATCATCCCATGAGATTGGAATCATTTGTCCGCAACGGTTTTATTAATAAACAACATGTTGTATCCATCTTTTTTTACTTTGAAAAAGCCTATGATTTGACATGGAAGTATGGTATTATGAAAGATCTTCACAACATCAGCCTGATTTCACTGCACAATTTTAAGAAGACAGGAAGTTTAAAGCCAGAGTGGGATCCGCATTGTCGGATGTATTTGATCAGGAAATGGGAGTCCCTCAAAGTAGCAATTTATCAGTTACTCTTTTTAGTGTTAAAATAAATGGCCTTGCAGAGGCTCGATGACTTGGTTGAAGCATGTCATCGCTCCCAATTGCTTGGATCGATGCTCATGATATCAACCACTGGATTGTCTGGTCCAGACTAGATTATTTACAGACCGCCGTCATATGACGGCATTACTGAATATGAAACACACACTGGCATCACTGAATATAAAACATGCACTGGCATCACTGAATATGAAACACACACTGGCATCACTGAATATGAAACACACACTGGCATCACTGAAAATAAAACACACACTGGCATCACTGAAAATAAAACACACACTGGCATCACTGAATATAAAACACACACTGGCATCACTGAATATAAAACACACACTGGCATCACTGAATATAAAACACGCACTGGCGTCACTGAATATAAAACACGCACTGGCATCACTGAATATAAAACACGCACTGGCATCACTGAATATAAAACACACACTGGCATCACTGAATATCAAACACGCACTGGCATCACTGAATATAAAACACACACTGGCATCACTGAATATGAAGCACACACTGGCATCACTGAATATAAAACACACACTGGCGTCACTGAATATAAAACACACACTGGCATCACTGAATATGAAGCACACACTTGCATCACTGAATATGAAACACACACTGGCATCACTGAATACAAAACACACACTGGCATCACTGAATACAAAACACACACTGGCATCACTGAATATGAAGCACACACTGGCATCACTGAATATGAAACACGCACTGGCATCACTGAAAATAAAACACACACTGGCATCACTGAAAATAAAACACACACTAGCATCACTGAATATAAAACACACACTGGCATCACTGAATATAAAACACACATTGGCATCACTGAATATAAAACAAAGTTTATCTAAACATGCTAAAAGATTCTGAGAGTTAACATTCATTAAAAGGAGCTGGCCTGATCATGAAATCATCATATAATACAGTGTGAAAAAAATGAACCTTCGTCTTCTAACGCTGTCATTACAGTGAAAAACAATTTCTATTTTGGACAGGTACACATTCATACCGACCGGTGAACTTGACTAGCACTGATCTATAGTTTCTGGGCATCTTATTTGAAACATAGTCTGTCTGTCTGTCTGTCCATTTCATCCATCCATCCACACCACACCCTACTATTGTACAATTTGATAGTCTGTCTGTCTGTCTGTCCATCCATTTCATCCATCCATCCACACCACACCCTACTATTGTACAATTTGATAGTCTGTCTGTCTGTCTGTCCATCCATTTCATCCATCCATCCACACCACACCCTACTATTGTACAATTTGATAGTCTGTCTGTCTGTCTGTCTGTCCATCCATTTCATCCATCTATCCACACCACACCCTACTATTGTACAATTTGATAGTCTGTCTGTCTGTCTGTCTGTCTGTCCATCCATTTCATCCATCTATCCACACCACACCCTACTATTGTACAATTTGATAATCTGTCTGTCTGTCTGTCTGTCTGTCTGTCCATCCATTTCATCCATCCATCCACACCACACCCTACTATTGTACAATTTTTAATAGATTCGGAAATGCATACCACCTGTGGTCTTAACTTTTGAAATTATCAGAAATTTTGAAATTTGTTTTATCATATTTCAAGGTGGAACTTAAAATCTTTTTCATGTCTATATACATGTTTGTATGTGGCTGTTGGTCCGGAAACAGATAACCCAATTGCACTTCTTATTTTGGCTGCTGCTACGAGACAATCGGTGGATGGACTGCAAATGTTAACATGGTTCAGTTTGTTTTAGGCTCCCTGTCCACCGGGCATTGGATGTAGTATCATCTGTTGTTTGTTTGCGTTCCTGGTGCTGGTGTTGTTTGTTTGTGTTCCTGGTGCTGGTGTTGTTTGTTTGCGTTCCTGGTGCTGGTGTTGTTTGTTTGCGTTCCTGGTGCTGGTGTTGTTTGTTTGTGTTCCTGGTGCTGGTGTTGTTTGTTTGCGTTCCTGGTGCTGGTGTTGTTTGTTTGCGTTCCTGGTGCTGGTGTTGTTTGTTTGCGTTCCTGGTGCCGGTTAAAGTGTTAACTAGGGCTGGGACGAGTCCAAATTTACTACCCGGGTACCCACACCCCTATGACCCGACCCTACCGGGGTACCTGCTGTTGGTGTCAAGAGTTAGGTACAAAATGTCCGAGTGGGAATAGTTTGACAGTAGCCCTGGCAGAATGTATCTAGATACACGTATAAAAAGATGTGCTCATGCATACACCATGTACACTGAAGTTGAATGAAGTTCTAGCTTTGTGCAAACATATATAAGTCAGAAGGAACGTGTTTGTTGTCATAAAGAAATGTGAACATTAGAGACTTAAAATTGTTGTGTAACCATGTAGTTATATAGTGAATTTTCGTCATGAAACTATATATCATGTGACTAACCACGGGTCGGGGTAGTACTGTGGGTACCCGGGTCCTTCTCAGGACCCATCCGACCTGAGTACCCGAGTTACCCGTCCCAGCCCTAGTGTTAATGTGTTGCAGTCTAATCATGTCTAACTGCAGTTGAGAAGGAGTATATCTTTCATCTTCTAGATTGTACAGGGAAAATATTCAGCTTTTTTTTATCCGAAGAACAGAGTCATGAATGTCTGCACTTTCTGCTCTCAGCCTAGCTCGGTGTTCTTCACATGCATGGACAGCCGAATGCTGGCATCGAGGTTCACCACCAGCCATGTTGGGGACAACTTCTTCGTCCGTAACGCCGGGAACCTCATCCCCAACGCCAAGCACTTCAGCTACGAGTCTGTCACCACAGAACCAGGTGCTCTAGAGCTAGGCTGCATCATCAACAACATCAAGCATGTGGTGGTTTGTGGACACTCCGACTGCAAGGTGGGTGGCATAGCTAACACATTTGTACATTGCTGGTGATTATAAATTTTGTTTTATGAACAGGTTGGGAAATCTTATTCGTAGGACAGCGGTATACCGGTAAAGTGCGATATACTTTTCAAACTCTATCAAACTTCTGTGTTCTGGTAGTTGGAGAAAAAAATATGTAAAATGTTTCTTATTATTTGTATTGTAAAAACTAAAATCTACACAGAAATTCATTCTCAAATGATGTGTCGCTCCGAAATTTATTGACAAAATGGCAGAAAAGCAGAAGTTGTTTTTCTCTCTTGTTGTTACCTCCCCTGTATCCATGACTACAAAATGGCAGAAACGCGAAAGTGATTCTTCTCTCTTGTTGTTATCTCCCCTGTATCCATGACTACAAAATGGCAGAAACGCGAAAGTGATTCTTCTCTCTTGTTGTTACCTCCCCTGTATCCATGACTACAAAATGGCAGATACGTGAAAGTGATTCTTCTCTCTTGTTGTTACCTCCCCTGTATCCAGGACTACAAAATGGCAGTGACTGACAATATTTACTTTAGTATGTAGAAAAGAGAATCTACATGTACAATCTGTCAAACACTGTCAAACACTTCAGCTCCCAATCTATTGCATTACAGATACCTGTATTGCGATATATTGCAATACAAATTGTTTGCCGATGCACAGCCCCAGTCTTTACAACATAGGAGGTAACATATCTGTTGTAAGGAATATATTATGATATAGCAGGATCTTCCCTGAAAGACCTCTTACCAAGCAGGACCGTCTCCATGATCTAGTGGAGAGCAGAAGGTCCGGGGTTCGATCCCTGGCCGCATCATAGCAATAATGGTACTTGTTGTTACCCTGTATGGCACTTGCCATTAAGGGAATCAAAGAAGGACTGGTTGCCTCAGAATATCGTATACTGTGTCTGAGTCTGGTATCCATTTTAAACTGCGACATGCACGCACGCATGCACAGACGCACGCACGCACAGACGCACGCACATCATAATATCAGTGCAATAATCTTGAATGGTATGTTAAACCCCATTTCATCTCACCTTTTATTTCAGGCTATGAATGCACTGTACGGCCTCCGACACGACTGTGAGCATCACGTGGGCACGCCGCTACAGATGTGGCTAAAGAAGCACGGCCAGCCTTCAGTGTCCAAGTTTGAGAAGCTGGTACCAGGAAATAACTACTCAGGACCTCTGATGTTCCAGGGGGAGACCGAGGAAAGCAACTTTGAGGCCTACATTGATCCAGAGAACAAGTTCTCAATGTCTGACAAGTTTTCTCAGGTAGGACAGCTGACAGTTTTCTTGATTGATTTTATACCATGTATGCATCTACACTGCATGTAATTTACACAGCATTCTTTGAAATGCTTGACTGACCATATGTTTGACCAGTATTGTGAAAGATCTTATGGGAAGATCTGCCAAATCCTCGATAGTGGGTGATGTCTATTCATCCAATTAGCATCAAGGTTTCTTAGTACGAGTGAACTATCTAATCATCCAATCAGCATCAATGCTTCTTGGTACGAGGTGAACTATCTAATCATCCAATCAGCATCAAGTTTCTTGGTATGAGGTGAACTATCTATTCATCCAATCAGCATCAAGGCTTCCCAGTACGAGGTGAACTATCTAATCATCTAATCAGCATCAAGGCTTCTCAGTACAAGATGAACTATCTAATCATCTAATCAGCATCAAGGCTGCTCGTTACGAGGTTAACTATCTAGTCATCCAATCAGCAGCAAGGCTTCTCAGTACAAGATTAACTATCTAGTTATCCAATCAGCATTAAGATTTCTTGGTACGATGAACTATCTAGTCATCCAATAAGCTTTGAGATTCTTGGTACGAGGTGAACTATCTAATCATCCAATCAGCATCAAGGCTTCTCAGTACGAGATAATATATCTAGTCATCCAATCAGCATTAAGGTTTCTCGGTACGAGGTGAACTATCTAATCATCCAATCAGCATCAAGGCTTCTCAGTACTAGATGAACTATCTAATCATCTAAACAGCATCAAGGCTTCTCGGTACGAGGTGAACTATCTAATTATCCAATCAGCATCAATGCTTCTCAGTACAAGATAATATATCTAGTCATCCAATCAGCATTAAGGTTTCTCGGTACGAGATGAACTATCTAGTTATCCAATCAGCATTAAGGTTTCTCGGTACGATGAACTATCTAGTCATCCAATCAGCATCCAGGCTTCTCAGTATGAGATAATATATCTATTCATCCAATCAGCATTAAGGTTTCTCGGTATGAGATGAACTATCTAGTTATCCAATCAGCAGCAAGGCTTCTCGGTACGAGATGAACTATCTAGTCATCCAATCAGCATTAAGGTTTCTCGGTACGATGAACTATCTAGTCATCCAATAAGCTTTGAGATTCTCGATACGAGGTGAACTATCTAATCATCCAATCAGCATCAAGGCTTCTCAGTACGAGGTTAACTATCTAATCATCCAATCAGCATCAATGCTTCCTAGTACGAGGTTAACTATCTAATCATCCAATCAGCATCAACGCTTCTCGGTACGAGGTAAACTATTTAGTCATCCAATCAGCATCAAGGCTTCTCGGTACAAGGTGAACTATCTAATCATACAATCAGCATCAAGGCTTCTCAGTACGAGATATGCTATCTAATCATCCAATCAGCATCGACGCTTCTCGGTACAAGGTAAACTATCTAGTCATCCAATCAGCATCAAGGTTTCTCGGTATGAGTTACCGAATCATTCAGAGCAGCATATTTGGTTGGCCATCTGATTGGTCCAAGAATCCGTCCATTGTTCATTTAACTTGGGGGGTCACAGTTTGATCTGTGTTCGCCTGAGACAACCTTCCCTGTAGTGGAGTAAACAAATGATTTTGATATTTGCTCAGCAAGCTTCTTCATTGTGAGAAACATTCAGATTTAATGTTCAGTTATTCCCATGGGTAACTTATCTGAAGTTCTGATTAATATTGTGAATTTTAGCTCACCTGACAGAAAGTCGAAAAAAGTTAGATTTGCAATGTGGGAGGTTATCATTATAAAAGTTCAAAAGTATCACAACTGTCGTATCAGTTTTATGAAGTGATTCCTGCATTAGTTAGAGGTCATGATATATGTCCATAAATATTGTTGCATCGAGCCCATGCCTCCCACTTTTTACCCTCAGATAAACATTCTGATTCTTTTGAGCTCCCCTTTAGAAAAATGCACTGATCACGACCACTGTCTATTTGGTGATGTCAACATTCTTCAGCTACGACGTCGTTTCTGGTGTGCCGTCACTCCGTCCTTATGTCACAATCAGATTCAAACGACGTCAACAATGCCATCCAGATGACATAAAAAATACACTGGTGTGGGTTAAGTGATATTTGTACTAATGCACATACCATTTTATTAACTGATATTTCTAACCCTGTGGGTAATAGATATAATTATGTCCCCCTCTGTTCCAGGTGAACTGTCTGCAGCAACTACAGAACATCGCCAGTTATGATTTCCTGAGAGAGAAGCTCTACCTGAACCACGTGCGACTCCATGCCATGTGGTTTGACATCTACACTGGCAACTGCTTCATGTTCAGTAGAGAGAGGAAGAAGTTTGTGGAAATTTCTGATGAAAATTATGCTCATTTGATCAAAGATGCACACAGTGATTTCCACTAGCAGCTAAAGTGTGGTACGGCCGGAATTCTAGAACAAGAGAATTTATCATCCAAAACTGGCTCCCACAGGAGATATCGCTTGGAGTAGATCAAGCGATATCTACACTGTAGATATGCCTGCAATGAAATTGCATCACAATGCTTTGCAGACCATTGTGACGTCATTGGTCACCATGACGTCACAATCAAATGACATCACTAATGGCTCTGCTACTGAAGCTATTAGCAGTACTTTTTACACTTAAGACACTGCTAATTACTATCTACAAACTGAAAAAGTTGGAAGAATGATGTTGGATGATAAATAAAATCTCACCCTCGTGTCTTTTGATATAAAATATATCAACACTTGTTGATAAGGAAAAGATCCTCGGCAAGCCTTGGAGTTTTCCCACTTTTATCAACTCGTGTTGATATATTTCATATCAAAAGACACTCGGGTGAGATTCTCTATATAATTGTACTGTGATATTACATGGACCATCTTTAAGTGACTAGTCCAGAAACTGTTATATAAGGCTAGTAAAGCTAGTTGATGATACAAACAGCCTTGCATCATGAATGGCACATATGTAGAATACTATATGCAAACTAAAAACTATATCATTGATTTCTTTTTCTCTCAAACTAAGATGCAAAGGCAAATTTATAAATAATTGTCAGTTGTTTCTTAGAGTTTAATTTAAGAAAACACACTGAAATTAAAGTTACAAGAAATATAAAAATAAAAACTTGTTTTCAGAATAGGAATTCCATCCCTTTCGGACCTGTTTTTACTTTTGCTAAACTCAGAGGAGCTCATTTGTGAAAAAAAAGATAAAAGAAAGATTATCCTTATTGGTTTCATGTTTTATCTTGATAAGAACTGAAACCAAAGACTGTGATTCTCCCAACTGGGTGCCAGCATGTAGAGGCATGGTGTTAAGCAGACGTGGGCTTAAGGCTGTGTGAATAGTGACTACACTGGTATGTTGTCCAGCTTGACTTGTGTGTCCATTATTATGTTATGCTAGAAAACTGCCAATAGAGAAGTTATAGAACTCGGTGGGGGATCCAGGGGATATTGGTAGGGGCGTCATGGGGTTCCCTCTTTGTATTATTGAATTAAACTGAAGTTAAGAACCCCACCCTAACCCCACTCTCACCCTAACACCTCTTACCTCCCAACCACCTTGCACTTACCCACCCTCAGCCCACACTTACCCTCACCCCACCCTTACCCCATTCTTACCTAATACTTAACCCACCCTCACCCCAACCCACCTTCAACCCATATCCTATCTCCACACTTGCCTCACCCTTATCCTAACCACATACTGACCCCACCCCTTTCCCCACCCCTACTCCATCCTCACCCCACATTTACCCCACCCTTATCCTAACCCCATCATCACCACACCCCACCCTTACTCCATCCTCACCCCACACTTACCCCACCCTTATCCTAACCCCATCATCACCCCATTACCAAACAAATGAATATGCATTTGTGAAGTGTTTCGGTATATAAACTTAGGTGTTTATATAAAACAAAACACTGACATAAGAACTAGTTTATTAAGTTCCTGACATATACTGCATATTAATTTTTAATGCTGCACTGCCTTGGTATCCAGACACTGGTGGCCCAGTCGCCAAGGCTCCGCGATTCGCTGTACAGAGTTGCATCCCTTGTGCACGCCAGAAACCTATGATGGTGGGTTCGAATCCCTGTTCACCCTGATTATGTTTCTTGGTTTGTCAGCACCATACCCGTGCTCGTGGGTTTCACCGAAGTGGTAAACGTCTGAGACCTGCATCACTCCGGGCTTTCCTCCCACATTAAGCTGACAGGCCGTGATATAACTGGAATACTGTTAAAAGCGGCGTTAACCCCATCACACTCACTCCAGACACTGACTGTCTTGTTGGGAAAGATATATGTGCTGCACAAACTTGATATGTGTGAAAAATAATATTTGATGTGTTTGTATGTGGAACGCCCTTTTTAGAATGCAGGTATCACAAAATGATTCCAAGAATCCTTTGATTTTTAAGAACATGTTTTTATTCATATGCTATGTAAGGATTATTTGCAATAGATACCTGATCTTACACTATTTGTAGTGTTTATTTAGCAACACTTTGTTCTGAAATATATATTTACTTCAGTGTGATAAATGTTGATTTGTTACTAAGGAAGAAGGCTGATCTATTGGGTGTTGGAAATCCAAGCAGTTGATGTGCACTACGGGTAGAAAACTTCATTGAATTGAATCACGTTTAAGAAACATCAACTACACATAGCATGTAACCTTGTAATTTCAATTCTGTATCTCCAAATGAGTCTGACACGCCATGATGTGACTGAAATGCCAAGCAGTGTTAAACCTAACTCTAATTGCGATGGTGCACAGCTTGTAGCAGGGGGCACGGGTGGCTCAGTTGTCTTAGGTGCTGCAATATGCTGTGCAGAGTGGCATCCCTTGGGCACTCAAAGCTATGCTTGTGGGTTCGAATCCCGGTTCGCTCCGATTATGTTTGTAGGTTTGTCAGCAACATACCCGTGCACGTGGGTTTCACCAAAGTGGTAAACGTGTGAGACCTGCATCACTTCGGGCTTTCCTCCCACATTAAGCTGACACGCCGGGATATGACTGGTATACTTTCAAAGCGGTGTTAAACCCTACCCTCTCACTCACAGCTTGTAACGTGTACCTGTTGCAGCATTAATGCATTAAAGCTTGTAACATGTTCATTGTTTCCCTGTTACAGGTGTACCAATTCAGTGTGTACCTGTTACAGGTGTACCCATTCAGTGTGTACCTGTTACAGCTGTTTTCATTCAGTGTGTACCTGTTACAGCTGTTTTCATTCAGTGTGTACCTGTTACAGGTGTACCCATTCAGTGTGTACCTGTTACAGGTGTATCCATTCAGTGTGTACCTGTTACAGGTATACCCATTCACTGTGTACCTATTACAGGTGTACCCATTCACTGTGTACCTGTTACAGGTGTATCCATTCAGTGTGTACCTGTTACAGGTATACCCATTCACTGTGTACCTGTTACAGGTGTACCCATTCACTGTGTACCTGTTACAGATGTACTCATTCAGTGTGTACCTGTTACAGGTGTACCCATTCACTGTGTACCTGTTACAGGTGTACTCATTCACTGTGTACCTGTTACAGGTGTACCCATTCACTGTGTACCTGTTACAGATGTACTCATTCACTGTGTACCTGTTACAGGTGTACCCATTCACTGTGTACCTGTTACAGATGTACTCATTCACTGTGTACCTGTTACAGGTGTACTCATTCACTGTGTACCTGTTACAGGTGTACCCATTCACTGTGTACCTGTTACAGATGTACTCATTCAGTGTGTACCTGTTACAGGTGTACTCATTCAGTGTGTACCTGTTACAGGTGTACCCATTCACTGTGTACCTGTTACAGGTGTACCCATTCAGTGTGTACCTGTTACAGGTGTATCCATTCACTGTGTACCTGTTACAGATGTACCCATTCACTGTGTACCTGTTACAGGTATACCCATTCACTGTGTACCTGTTACAGGTGTACCCATTCACTGTGTACCTGTTACCAGTGTACCCATTCAGTGTGTATCTGTTACAGGTGTACCCGTTCACTGTGTACCTGTTACAGGTGTACCCATTCACTGTGTACCTGTTACAGGTGTACCCATTCACTGTGTACCTTTGACAGGTGTATCCATTCACTGTGTACCTGTTACAGGTGTACCCATTCAGTGTGTACCTGTTACAGGTGTACCCATTCACTGTGTACCTGTTATAGTTGCACCCATTCACTGTGTACCTGATACAGGTGTATCCATTCACTGTGTACCTGTTACAGGTGTATCCATTCAGTGTGTACCTGTTATAGTTGCACCCATTCACTGTGTACCTGATACAGGTGTACCCATTCAGTCTGTACTTGTTACAGGTGTACCCATCCAGTCTGTACCTGTTACAGGTGTACCCATTCACTGTGTACCTGTTACAGGTGTTGTCATTCACTGTGTACCTGTTACAGGTGTACCCATTCACTGTGTACCTGTTACAGGTGTATCCATTCACTGTGTACCTGTTACAGGTGTACCCATTCATTGTGTACCTGTTGCAGGTGTACCCAACCAGTGTGTACTTGTTACAGGTGTACCCATCCAGTCTGTACCTGTTACAGGTGTATCCATTCACTGTGTACCTGTAACAGGTGTACCCATTCACTGTGTACCTGTTACCAGTGTACCCATTCAGTGTGTATCTGTTACAGGTGTACCCATTCACTGTGTACCTGTTACAGGTGTACCCATTCACTGTGTACCTGTTACAGGTGTACCCATTCACTGTGTACCTGTGACAGGTGTACCCATTCACTGTGTACCTGTTACAGGTGTACCCATTCACTGTGTACCTGTTACAGGTGTACCCATTCACTGTGTACCTGTTACAGGTGTACCCATTCACTGTGTACCTGTTACAGGTATACCCATTCACTGTGTACCTGATACAGGTGTACCCATTCAGTGTGTACCTGTTATAGTTGTACCCATTCACTGTGTACCTGTGACAGGTGTACCCATTCAGTGTGTACCTGTTACAGGTGTACCCATTCACTGTGTACCTGATGCAGGTGTACCCAACCAGTGTGTACTTGTTACAGGTGTACTCATTCACTGTGTACCTGTTACAGGTGTACCCATTCACTGTGTACCTGTTGCAGGTGTACCCAACCAGTGTGTACTTGTTACAGGTGTACCCATCCAGTCTGTACCTGTTACAGGTGTACCCATTCACTGTGTACCTGTTACAGGTGTTGTCATTCACTGTGTACCTGTTACAGGTGTACCCATTCACTGTGTACCTGTGACAGGTGTACCCATTCAGTGTGTACCTGTTACAGGTGTTCCCATTCACTGTGTACCTGTTACAGGTGTTCCCATTCACTGTGTACCTGTTACAGGTGTACCCATTCACTGTGTACCTGTTACAGGTGTACCCATTCACTGTGTACCTGTGACAGGTGTACCCATTCAGTGTGTACCTGTTACAGGTGTACTCATTCAGTCTGTACCTGTAACAGGTGTTCCCATTTACTGTGTACCTGTTACAGGTGTACCCATTCAGTGTGTACCTGTTACAGGTGTACTCAT